TTTTTCTGTCCTCTTTGCCATTATACTTCCACATAGTTCTGCCTTCCCTGGGAAAAACCCAGAAACACAATGAACAGTGCATGTCTTCAGCCTGGAGCCTGCAAGCCCTGGCAGTCTCCTTGTCTTGTAGAGACCTCCAGAATGCTGCTTGCAGACAAAGGGAAGCTAGGCAAACTTCAGCTTCTGGTCATTTCTCTAATGCTGCCTTGGGGATTACCTCACAGTGACTGAATTTGTCAGAAGACAGGACAAATAAGCTCAGAATCACTGAGGCTGAAGGGAGGTCATGTAGTCTCACCTCCCTTCTCAAAGCAGTGTCAGCTAGAAGAGGTTCCTCAGGGCTGTGTCCAGGCAGGTTTTGAATATCTCAAAGTATGAACACTCTGCTCCAAACCACAGCCATGCCAAGAAGAGCATCCCAACCTGCTGCTGGAACCAGATCCTCCAGCCAGATGTGTCCCAAGCCCCATGTTACTGGAGGCTGTCCCAATGCTGGCTGGGATCCTGGCTGCACAGGTGCCTGTGGTCCATGGCCAGCCACTTCTGTGAGGTTTTGGAACCTCAAGAGTCAACCCCCAGCTTGCCAGCCCTCACATGATCTCATCACGTCAGCATGTGCCACTTTCCCGGTGTGTCATCTTCGTGTGGACCACCTTGCTGCATGGGTATCACAGCAAGAGGGTTCCTCTGACAGGGTCACCTTGGCTTGGCCAATGCAGAGGCCCCAGACCTTGCCCCAGGATACCATAGGCTCACTTTGGGCAACAGCTGGGAGCCACTCCCAGCTACAATTCCAAAACCGTTGTTTGCCCTAACTCCTGTACCCCCAGCTTCTCTGAATTTTGGTCTCCCCTTGCCCATCCAACACAGCACATTAAGGGGCTCATTGTCTCAATCTCCATCACCTCCTGCCCCAGCTGTCTCCTACCACCAGCTCCCAGCTAATAACGTATTCTCCAGTGAAGCAGGGCCAGAACACCTTCCTATCTCTGTTAAAGGAACTCAAAATTACATGATGACATATTTTTCCCCCTCTCACAAGCTGCCTTTTAGCATTTGGGGCGCAGTGGAACTTGTGTTTGTTCCGATCCTGCCTTCATCTCTGTTCACCCACAAATCTGGGGATGACAAGACACAAGACTTTGGTGCTGGGGAGGGGGGAATCAAGTCATCCAAAGTTTTCACACGCTCCCACTGAACAGGAGCACTGAATCTCTCTTTTCCAGTACTCCATTTTAACCACATCTTTATTTAAGATCAAACTATGACTGCAAGGAGCCCCTCCTTGCTCAGAACAGTAGCTCCAGCTTCTCATGGGGACTCTGCTTGGAATTAAACAATTGATTCCAGTGTTGAAATGCTTCTATACAATAGTGTTCATGCTCCTCAAAGCCTGGACAACATTATGTTAGGTGAGGGTGACACAGGGACCAGGGCAGCAGGCTGGGAGAGTTAAATCTGTGCCCCGCTCCAAGCTACTCTGCAGAGAGACCCAGGGGGACTTACCGTGCCCTTTCTCACCCATTAACCACCAACAATAGTGCCCCAGGTGATGGGAAGGGCTGTACACTGCTCTCTCTCTGTCCCATTGTTGCAGTAATAGTGTGAGCAAACTGCGCACATTGTCCCCACCTAATAACAAGGAGTGATCACAGCCTAATTACTAGCCTCAGACACATTTGAAGCGTAACTTCAAACAAGCTTCGAAAGGATATTTAGTCAACTTAAAGTGCAGGTAGATGCCAAATGGGATCTTTTAAAGCTCCAAGGTCTCTTGTGACAGCTGGTTAAGGACTGGATGTGTTCAAGCCATTGCTGAAGAAAATTAGAACTGGAGCTGCTTCTCCTGAAATAATCTCAAAGCAAATCTGCTTTTGCTCTGAGCACAGCACAGCAATCCAATGTTTTCTTCAAACTTAGGGCTAAGTACACAAAATATATTTACAGCAACTAAAGTAAGTAAGAAACATAGGAGTGACAACAGTAGAAGGCTTTGGTGTTTGTAGGACTCGTGGAGGAGTCAGCATTTACACAGCACACATGTTTGCCAAGGAGTTTAGGTGATTGATTAGTTTAATATCAATTGAATTCACTTGTGGGTGTTAGAAACATTTCTCCCTCTTCTTTATGTTTTCGGAAAGCTCTCGAAGTCTCTCAGGATGAGAGTAGTTCCTGCAAGGAATATTTTAAAGCAGAGACACTCATCCTTTTACGACTCTGCAGATGCAGGCTCTGAAGCTGTGCCTTAATTCTCTGCCTTAATTCTCGTGGGCCAGAAGCCTCTGCACGGAAAGAGGACAGTATTTACCTGCAAGGGCCTACATACACCCCTGATCAGCATCCCGAGCAAGCACCACTCTTTCTATCCTGCAAAGGACTACTCTATGCTTACCATTGTCAACAGCCACCAAACCAGAGATGAAATAGTTAACCTCAGGGAAAGCTTTTAAGAGGAGAGTCGTTACAGAGCAATTCAAACGTTATCATTAAAAAAATAGGGAAGAAAAAAAAAGAGCTGAAAGGAATTGGAACGGAGTTTCAGGAGCCAGGGTGGAACCATGGGAAGACGGCAGAGGTTTAAGCTCACAGGGAAGCCAGAAAAGCCCATATGTGCTATGGAGTCAGAGGCTGCAGGGGTACTGGTGGCCTCCCTGCTTTTATTTATTACTTATTTGTTTGCCAGTGGCTCTTTGCCAGGATACTTTCGACAAATCCTTCCTGAAGGAACTGCTTCTGCTTTCCTCTCCATCTGTTGCCCAGCCTTGACCAACACTTTGCAAGGCAGCAGGGAAGGCAGTGAGGCCAAGGCTCTGGTCTGGCATCAGTCAGCCTTTCTGCTTCCTATTTTTCCCACTTTCTCACCCTCCCCTCTGAATAAATACCGCAAGCCACTACAACAGCCCCTTTTCTCCAAAATGGCATATTTTGTTGTCTTTCTTCTGCTCAGACAGGCAGCCTGACCGGTCCTACAGAATTGTAAATCTTCACATGGGGCAAAGTGCTTTCTCATACCTTGTTTCCCCACCCAGTTTTCCCTTCACACCCTGCTCCCCCGTGAACTCTCTGAAAGGGGAAAAGGCTGGCATGTACATCAATCCTGGAGATGGTGGCTAAACAGTTAAAAGGAAAAAAATGTTCATGCAGAAATAACATCTGTCAGCCAGACAAAGGTCTCTCTCTCTCATTCTCCTGGAAAACACTCCTTCTGTTCAGGAGGTTTCTGAATAGCAAATCCACTTTGCAGCACTGCTGCTGCTAGTGAGGATGGGGAAGCAAGCAAGGGAGAAGGCAGGGCCTTCATCCATGGACAAATCTGGATGAAGTGATAAACCGGGGGAGAGCAGCTTGGCCAGAGCATTAGATTGCCCTGACCTACCAGCCCTCTCAAAATCATCATTATAACAAAACTGGAGGGAGAAACTGAGAGAGGTTCTCCCTCCTCTGCCCTGCCAGCACAAAGCATATCTACCACCCTCAGGTGTAGCTCCCAGAAGGAGGGTTCTGTGGCCAGGATGACGTGGGGACCGAGCACAAGCCATAGCATGACACAGTAGTGGGGTGACATTTTATCTCACATCACAGGACAGTGGCATAGGCCAGTGCATGTGCACTGGGAGGGGACACTGAGGGGCTGGGGCTCACTCCCTGCTTCTGCCACCAACTCGTTCCAGCAGCCCAGGGAAGCCCCCGTGCCTTGCTGGGCCTCCGCCACCCATCAGGCAGGCTGACACAAGCATTAGTTACAAACACTTTGGTACATGGTCCAAGATGAAGGCGGGCAAACAGCGTCTAAACAGAGCTAAGTACCCAGAAATCTCCCACAACACCGATCCAAACCCGTCCGTGCCTCCCGGCCCCGCAGCAGTGCCCGGGCGAGCTGTCCCAGGGCTGCCGAGGAGATGCAGGCTTACCCGCGCAGTGAGCATCCCCCGCCGCAGTCGCACCCACAGGCGCAGCTCGCCGTGGGCGGGCCGGGGTTAGTCCTACGCACGCTTCCTCCCCACCCCAACCACCGCACCGCCAGGCCGTGCCCCCGGGTCCGTCCTGCACCCCAGGGGCTCCCCAGTGCCACTCGCTGGAGCCCCGCTGCCCGCCGGGCCCCCAGCCCGCTGCCGCTCCCGCCGAGCCCCGCAGCGCGGACCGCGGCTCCCGTCCTGTCGCCGCCTCCCGCCCCGCACTGACCTGCTGGGGGTCCCGGCCGCGCTCGCTCCGGGCCCTACGCCCGCCGCCTCCCTCCTCCCCCTCCTCGCGGCCGCCTCGGGCTTCCCGGCACCGGCACCGGCCCGGGCCCGGCACCGGCAGGGAAGGGGAAGGGGCCTCGGCCGCCGCCGCCCCGCCCCCCGCCCGCCCCGCTGCGGCGGAGAGGCCGCGGTCCGCGGGCTGCGGTGCCCGGGCTGCTCCCCCCGCCTCACCGCTGCTGGGCCCCGGGGCCTGCGCCGCCGGAGCTCCGGGCCCCGCGCCGGGAGCCGCAGCCGCCTCCCGGCCCGAGTCGGGGTCGGGCAGCCCCCGGCGCTCTGCCTACCGTGCGCCCCGCGGCATCCGTGCGGAGAGGAGGGGGCGAGGCGGCGGCCCCGGCGCTCGGAGAGGGGAGCGGGCGGGGAGCTGCCGGCAGAACGCCTGGCTGCGGGGTCTGCGCGTCTCAGGCTATTTCTGGGTGTGAGGCTGTGCCCGCCGCATCCGCCGCTCCGAGCAGCTTCCGCGGCTCTCGGGCTCCTCGGGATGGCTGCCCGGCGTGTGCCCCGGGGGCAAGCGGAACGGGCCTCCGGGGCCATCAGCCAGGGCGATGGGGCACACGTGGGGTCTGCCCCACAGTGGTAGGGGCAGGTGGGTGGGTACCTTTGAGACCTCAACAGCGTTTGCAAAACCTCTCCCCTTGATGAAGCATTGCTCAGATGCTTAGCAGGGGTGGTAGCTAAGAAACTTCCTAGGGGTCTTGTTCCTGCAGAAGGTCTCTGCCTTCATCAGGAATGACGAGGAGGAGAGAGAGGAACCTGACCCACCAAGTGCAAAGGGGCACAGAGAGCCTTGCTTTCCGTGAGCATCCCAGCCTGCTCCCCATTTCTCCAGTCCGTGAGAATGCAGGCAGTGCACTCTGTGCTGGAGGAAGCACCCGCAGCACCCTCAGGGCTGCAGTACTGAGTGTCTGCACGGCCAGCACTGCTCCCAAGTGATGGTCAGACACACATCTGCAAGTGGGCTACCAAAGAACAGTCACCAGAATGTGACTGAAGAGAAGTCTCACTGTCATGCCAAGTGCTGCATTGCTCCCACCTCCCATCCCTGTATGGGGGACAAGGGGTCCCACAACTATGGCTTCTCCAGATGCTGAGTAAGTAGTGTTGTTCTGCAGCATCCTCTGAAGGCTTGTTTTGGCTCATTTCATCTATTTTGGGCTGAAGAAGCACAGTCCAGTGGTTAAACTCCAGCCATTTAAGTAAAGGACCTTCCAGTCTCAAAAGTACAGCTATGAAAATCACCAGGAGAAGCATCAGGGAATTAGCATAATATAACAGCTGCCAGCAAAGAATCTTCATTCATACTGCTAGTGGAAATGGCTGGCACAGCTCACAGACCATGAGGAACCAAGGGGTGAAAAGCCTGCTGTCCCCTATAGTGTCTTTCTCTTTTTAGGCTCCCCAAGGCTGAGGTAGCGCTCAGCTGACTTCTTGTCTGCTGGACCATGGTGCAGAGAACAGGTTGGTACAACATGATGTCATTTAATAAAACTTCAGTTTCATGTGAATGAGTCTCATATAAATGAGACCTTTATCTCCAATCAGGAGCTACCATAGCCCAAAAAACTTTAGGAAACAGCTGAGTAAAAAAAAAATTTCCAAATCTCTTTCATTGCTATCTTCTTTAGCCATATGTATGATGAGCAGAAGCCACATAGCTTGTCCTCTCACTCCAGACAAACCAGTGCCAGTCCTACAGCATCACTGAGGCTTGGAGACCTTGGCTGCTGCTGTGCATCAGGGGACACTGTCCACCCCAGGAGAGAGCAAAGACGACTGTGCCAGCTTAGTAATGGGACCTTGTGAGAGAAACAAATCCGTGGGGATTTTATAAAATGCCTCATGGCTGTGATCTGCCTCTGGGCCCCCAGTATTTGATCCCCTACTTCTGAACGAGTAAAGACTACTTTTCATAAGCCATGGTTTCTCTGACTTACTGAACTGGAAGCCAGCATGTTTGATTACTTAATTTGGCAAACACTGCCAGAAAATGTTGACTTCTCAGCAGATCTGGCAATCTTGCTGCTGGTGAGCTGCCTCAGTCCCTAACGAACACCCTCACCCCTTCCTTTGGCCTGCCAAGATATGAGGGATCACAAAAAGCTGGACAAACCTAGCCTGTGGTCTAAGTAATCCCCTGGAGATACTTGTTTCTTCCTGCCTCTGGCCCAAATTGTGCCTAGTTAGAATAGGACAGGATAGGATAGGATAGGATAGGATAGGATAGAATAGAATAGAATAGAATAGAATAGAATAGAATAGAATAGAATAGAATAGAATAATAAACAACAGAAAAAGGAAATACAGAACAGCCCCAAAAGGGAGAAAATCTCCTTAATTTTCTGTTATGTACTGAGCCTCAGTGGCCATGATTTTGGCCCAAGAAGAGCCTTACAGGTGCGGTCTCACAAGGGCTCAGGCATCCCATGGTTTTTAAGTCTTCCACATGCCTGAGAGGCATGAGTGGTGTGTGCCTCAGCTCCAGCTCTGTGTGTGAAGGAGCACAATACCTCCTTCCTGCATCACTTTTAACCCTGTAGCAGTGCGGGAAAGACATGGTGCTGCAGCCAGAGGCAGCAGGAGGATGAGGCACAGGGACCTGCCTGGCAGCTGGGACTGTAGCATTGCATCCTGCTGTCTGTATGAATCTCCCAATTATAATTCCTATTTTCCATCATTCGTGGCTTTAATATTTACGCTGAACTTCTCCAGGCAGACTGAGGGACTCAGGCTAAATTTGTCTAGACACATTTCAAGCAAGATGGTGCAACTGTTCCTGAGAATGACAGCTGTGGGAAAAGGCTATTGTGTCTATGTTTTTTAAAAAGGCTGTTGGTTTACCCTTGGGCAGCACCAGTGTCTCTGAGCTTTAGAGCCAAATACTGGCAAAGGTGTGGACTTTAGCTGGAGACGTGCCTTTGAATACCCCTATGGAGCTAATGCTCGTGAAACTGGAAAACTGCAATTTGCCCAGAGCAGCAGCAAATTTTAAGGGTCGGGGAATGAAAACACCCTTTAGTCCTTGATCCCTGCACCCGGAGCCAGTTAGACTGTGTTTGTGTCCCTGTCTGACAGCCTAGCTTGGCATGGCACATGGCACTGCCAGGATATCCCCATGCTGGCTGCTCCACAGCAGGATGAGTGGGCCAGCTGGAGTGTGGTGAGCACAGTGTGCGTGCCCGTGGCAAATGGTCGTCTGTAGGCAAACTTCGAAGAGAGCCCTGACCTCCCTGGTGCAGGGGTGAGAGGCGGTGCAGGGCTCCATGAGGCTCTGCAGGGTGGGCAGGCCTGGATGCAGAACCTGGGAGGTGAGACTTGAAATGGGCAAAAGCACAAAATAGCATAGCACAGTCCTGCATGTGGTCCCAGACCTTCTTATCTGCAAACTGCTTCTAGGACAGAATTACTTATTTCTTTGGAGGGCTGATAGAATCATTACATTATTTTCATGCTGCAAAAGCAGGAATTAATTTCTTCTCATCCCTGGACGAGTGGGAGATTACCACCTGGGAAGAGATGGAAGCTCACACCTGCGGAGGTCGGAGCTGCGCTCACCCCGCGGTGCTGGTTGGATTCCCTCCTGCACGACACTACAGCCCTTCCGTGCCGACTCCAGTCCTGGCCGTGGGCGCACGGCATTCCTTCGGTCTGGACTCCGGGGCACGGGGCAGACACCCGGGAAGCGGAGCCCAGGCAGCTCAGACACTGTGGAAGGGCTTGGTGAAGCTCGGGCCCCACGCAGAGCAGTCTCTCCCCGGACCTGCCGGCCTTTCCTAGCGCTGCCTGCCTCCTTCCCGGAATATCTGCTGCCTGCCGTCACTAAGGAAACGGAGCTCCTGTCGGCAGCAGCTCCTCGCAGTTCGCATCGGAGGGCGGGGGAGCTGCGGGCACCGCCCCGGGCTGAGGCAGCCCCAGCCCGGCCAGGGAACGCCGAGTTGCCCCACAGCCCCCTCCCAGAGCCCGAATGAAGGGCAGCACACACCCTGACCTCCGGCAGACGCGGCTGCCGCACAACCGCAGCGCTCTGTGCCCTCCGCTGGGGCTGCCAGGCAGGGACCCCCGGCCTCAAGCAAGGTGCTTCTGCCTTCCCATAAGAGACCATGGGACTTACGCTGTGCCAAAGGAAGAAGTTAGAACAGCTGCAGCAGAGGCTGAGCCACCATCACACCAGCCACCTCAGTTCCGTTAATTAAAAAAGTTAATTTCTTAATTTTCAAGTGCTCACCCCAGACCTTCTCAGGGCTCTTTGAAGGCAACTTGCCATTGGGAATAGCTGAGAAACTGGAGCCGCAGCTATTACACTGGGAAATCGTCTCTCCCCCCTGCCAGCTCCCTCGTGGTTTGATGTCTGCATGCTTATAATTTCAAATCTGCTTCAAAATTCAACCACCACCCAGGCTGCATGACCACGCACTAATCAGTTGCATTAGAATATGCTAATTAGCTCTTCCCAATTTCCAGTCAGGTGGGACAGTGTGTTTCAGTACTTACAGGCACAGGATTTCTCTGTAACTCTGTATCTCTGTTCTTTGGCAGGCCTGGGTAAGCATGATATTCCCATGCTCATCTTCACAAATACCATCCCCAGCCCTCCTGGCTCTCAGCCATTACTGCCTGCAGCAATGTCTCTGTGGATGCTCCCACCTACTCCTGCATCACCACAAGCAAATGGTGCAGCTTCTTGCCTGGGGCTTTCCCCTCTTCACCCCAACATCCTGCCACTAATCAAACGTTCCTCCACTTTACCCTACCCCGATACTTTGTTAGCAGCATGGAACAGCTCATTCACCTCCTTGAAGAAGGACCCAGGGGAGAGCTAGATGTTCAGGCTTGCACTTGATAGCCTCAATCCAGCTTCTGTGCATCAAACATCCTTGCATTATTCTGCAAATAGGTAGCCTGCACTTCCTCAGAGGTGAGCCTGCTACTCACCTACCCTCAACACCAGACATTCTGACATGGTGTAAGGCCCCTTGTGTCTGCTCTCAAAGCCTAGGACATGCTGGGTCACTTCCTTGTATAGATGGATGCAGAAAGGAGCGTAGGTTAATTTACTCTGTGTAAAATACATCTCCCTCTCTTAGACAAATGTGTATGAGTGAGAAACAAAATAAATACATGGTTATACGGAGCTTGAAATGGAGGTCATTGGTCAGAGTGAAATGTTTTCTGGAAGTCTCATGGAAATGATCCCTCTTCTTCAAGAGGTGCAACTGGTAATTCCTGACATAGGAGAAGAAGATCCAGGCTGAGCACTTGACCTTCTGAAGAAGTAAATTGCATTTTTGTGATGTTTAAAGAATGAAAGACTGATTGCAGATAGACCAGGGAAAAGTGATGGTAGTAGTTTTAATGAGAATGACAGTGGATAATAGGGGAAAGATGTAAGCTAACAGGCTGAGCTGGGAGAGGCAGTGAGGAAGATGCACATCATGTAATGAACCATACTGTTCTGGCCAAATGCGGGGCTCTGCACGCAGGCTGTGTCTCTGCCCACATGCCAGCCTTCCTGGGAGCAAACACTCAATGCACTGATGTTCTCCCTGGCTAAAACAGTTGCCAGCACAGCAGCTAGCTAATGCACAGTGGCACAGTCCTTTGTGAAAGTCATTAACTCTAAATAGGCTGTCTCATAAACAATATATTCCATGAAAACGTCTAAGTAGCTCATTGGCCCTTCTTCTATGTCTTCTATGTAAAGAATAGCGCCAGAATAAACAAACAAACAAACACAAAACAAAACACCAAACAAACAACCCCCCAAAAAAGTAAGGACTGTTTTAGGTCAGAAAACATGTTTGTGTAAGCTATCATTCTGTTTCTG